TTTCTGTCAGGAGTACACTGAAGAGACGTGGCAGGAGGAAGGAGTTTTCTGTCAGGAGTACACTGAAGAGACGTGGCAGGAGGAAGGAGTTTTCTCAGATTTCTGGAGCTTTTACTTTCTCCCTTCCACTGTTCCACTGTGACTGTGAGATGTCTTTGTTGTACCAGTTTATAACCAGAGACGATTCTGTCCCCAGAGGACATATGGCATTTTCTGGAACTATTTTTCATTGTCACAACTTGGAAGAGCCATTGGCATAGAGTGACTAGAGGCAGAGGACGCTGCTAAACACCCTACAGCATACAGGACAATAATGCCAAGGTTGAAAAACACTGGTCTAGTGTGAGGTGCCTCCAAGGTATAGCTTTCTCCAGCATCTGGCTAGCTGCTGTGGGCTCACTCCATCCACCTTTCTACTCAGGCAGTGACTACATTGCTGCCAGGAGCCTCAGACCAGGTTCCTGCTGGCGAAACCCTCTCCTCAGTCCTCACGCACATGCCTGGTCAGCCAGCCACTTAACCTTTGTTCAACACGGCAGCCTGGAACTTCCTTGCCCCAATCTGTTCATGTAGTGCTCTAGATTGCTCCATAGGGAGGCCTCTCCAACTTTCAAGTCCAGCAAGTCCCTGAAGTGGTGCTCCAACTCCCTCTGTACTCACCTACCAGCCTCAACTCACCTGCACCCCACGGGTTATTACCGTGGCCCTCCCTAGCACAGATACTATGTGCTCCAGGTCTCTCTTGGACCTACAGCAGTGCCTTGACCTCTGTGAGCTCTCCCACCAGTCTTGGCTGACATGCTGATACAGTGACAGTGTACCAGCTTTGGCCCAGGCCCCTCAGCAAATGTCTCTGCTCTCAATGGGCTGCAACCACACCTTCAATGAGGTCCGAACCCTTATTTCAATCTTAATTTTCTCTTTTCTTGGGTACTTTCCCTCAGGCCTAGGGGGCTTTTAGAGTTCTCTTCATATAGTCACTTTATAGTTTCTCTCCTATCATAACCTAATAATTCTTCATGTTAACCAGTTAAGTTACAGTGGGGTTTTGTCTCCTGATTTGACAACAGATTGATACAACTTTCATAGGTCTATGCATATTTTTTTCTTTATAAATCTTTCTCCTACTGTAGAATTTAGCTCAAATACTACTTCCTACATGAAACCTTCCTTGAGCACCCCAAGTAAACAAATTATTGCTTCCTCTAAACTCATAGCACCTGTCTTTATCATAAAGTGGCAGGGGCAAAAGTAGCCAGCGAGGCTTTACGGTATAAACTCGTTACCAAGAGACTTGGTAGGAGGAAGTGTCTTGGCATGTTCTCCCATAGCACCACTATCAAGAAATTCACTACAGACACTGTGAATGTTACTTTTTTTTCATTATTATTATTATTACTATTATTGCTCAATATTTCATTGCAGCAATCGTCTGATTTCTTTTCTGAATGTATTTATCTTCATTCATTCTTTACGAGGTTTTTGTTCCTAGTCCTTATCTTAAACGTTGTTATTGTTATTAAATTTTAAGCCTTTTTAATTTTGTGAAGGCAAAATGTGGAAACCAAATAAACACAAGTATATGTTAAAAAAAAAAGAAAGAAATTCACTATAAACACTACCTGTTCCCCACTTAGATTGAACATCTTAAGGAAAATGCCAGGCTGGCTAGGATGTGCTAAAATGATAAATTCCACACATTGACGGTAATAATGAAAACTGTCTTTGGAAAGCTATCCGGCAGCATGGATCAATACCCATCGAAAGCATAAACTTTGATTCAGTTATTTTGGGGTATCAACTCTAAGAAAAAAAATCCCAAATTCTTTTTTTAAAGACTGATACATAGAATGCTATTTGTAACAGTGAAAAGTGGGGGAACCTGAATGGTTATTAATAGATGTATAGTTAAGTAAATGATAATAAACCATTGTACAGAAAGACACTGAAAATGTTATATACGACTCAACAGTGGGGAACGATTAAATAAACTGTAGTTCAATATAATGATCAAATATTATGTTCCGACAAAACTGCTCTGCTCTGCTAAGTTGGTTATAATTTATCATTCACTTTCTAACATTTCTCTAGTCTGATATTATGCTGACTCTTCCATTATTCATTTATGCCTTTATTACTTATACTGTCAAATTAGTGAATTTAGGGAGAAAAAAATAAACATATATTCTAAGCTCAATGTTAAACCAATGTCCAAAACTGAGTTTCTTAAATAAAAATACTTAGAAAAATGAAAAATCTTCACTTAAAAAATGGGATCGTTACCATTCAAAATAGAGTATTTAAATAAAGTACTGCTTTTTATGTATTTTAGTTCTCTACTAAATGTCACTGTAACACAGTCTCCAAAACTGTCACAAAACACAGTATATTTATAAAGGTTCTGACATTTTTAATGCGTTAGAAACAATATTAGATTTTGCTGCTAAATACAATATTGAATTAGAGCACTAACTGAGAAGACACTGGTTAAACTTAACACTTTCACTAGAAGAAAATTCAATGTTATTAACTATAAAATTATTAAATACATTCAACTCATAAATATTTAACTTCAAGTAAATGACATTTTGGAGTTTGGTTAGCCACAGAATAAGAATTCAAACCGACATTAAACTCAAGCACAGTCTATACAAACTGGAAAACAAACAAAAAAGTAACTGCAACTCCAACACTGCAGATAAAATACAACTGAGAAACAAGGAGTTAACATGTATCAGAAAGCATCTTTTCTTTTACTTCACTCACGTATTTCTGAATCTGAATTCAAACTCTTCCTTACCTAAGAATCCAAGGTAATTCAAGTTCTCCAAACAAGTGGCAGACGAACAGTGGATAATGTGTTGTAAGTATATATTGTGAAAAGGTGATGACTCACCTTCAGCCTCAGCCTATAGGCAATCTTTAATGAAATCAGTTTTGACAAGCAGCCAAGACTTACGCTGGACAAAAACCAAGTGTGGGTAATTGATACAACTTAGGCAAGCCCATTTTCTTAGAGATAAGTCTTCATTTGTCTACATAAATGGGCAAATGTTCTTTAGTAAGACCTTTTTTTCCATTTCAATCTAAACCTAGACAATATTTAAAACAGAAAGTAGCATTTGACCATTCTAGAGGTTCAAGTGTATAAAGTTTATTATAACAAATTTATTGAAGTATCTATAATACAAATATTTATATGCTGGTCATTAACTGATTATGTATTCACACATTTAAATATATAGTATATTAAATGTTGTATGTATTTATCTACCTATATTTATTATGAAGTCAGTCAATGAGAACAATGAGGCTGTACTAATGAACAAAAATATTTAAAAGTGGAGTTATAAACACATCTTATACAGTAATGTCTCCATTTTTTCTATTCAGAAAGAATCATGCTTTCTTC